GGTAGCGTGTCGTTTCCGTGGCGTCATTTTAACGGTACCGAAAAATAGTTTAACCATTAAAGTCACCGCACACGACTTGACTGTGTGATCAACGCGATTTCACTGTGCCTCTATGTGTGTTTGTGGTGTGTGAGTGTGTTTCTTCTAATTTACTTTCGTTTTGTTTTGTTTTCAGTGTTGGGGGGGACGCAACAGATAACGTTATGTGCGCATGCGGGTTGCTATTTTAGTCTGCAAACTGAGGAATCGCGCGGATGAAAGTTTGAGATGGCGGCGAAAAAAATTCACAAAGGTCCACTAATTACGACATTTAAGAAATGGGAATGCCAGTCTGATTTTTCGTCTGAATCGTCCAAAGGGCGTCTCACTAAACTCACCTGGGATGTATGCACAGAACACGAGAGCGAGATACGAGAGAGGCACGATTACGAGGCAAGTTGGTCATTAGATTTGTAGGCTAATCGCTATGAAAAATATTATGAAACAGTATTGGTTATTCTATAATTTACTGGTTGTAGCATGGTACCTTTATGAAGAAAACATCCGTCACAAGGTGTAGTAATGCTAATGTTAACTGTTGGTAGAACTAATGATGACGTGTGTTAAATTTGAAGGTTGTTTGAAAAAAATGCCGACCGTAAAGTTTTTTTTCGAGGTAGAAATTCTCGGTCGGTCGGGTTACCGGAAACACTACTTTTTTTTCTACGCCTTATTACAAATACACAATTATTCTCCAGGATTTTCTGTAGGAGACTCAAATTATAAATAGCTGCAGCCTTATATTCAACCCCCCTATCATATTATCATATTTTGTTTTATAAAATCTTTACTTCAGGTCCCTGGGATCAACCTGCAAGAAAATTATCCTCAAATTTTGCGAATTTCCACTTCACATTAAGTCATTGATGAGCAAAATGTTGAATTTTCATTGTTTCTCTTGAAATGTAGACATTAAACATCTGTTTAATATTTCCCACAGCACAATTGGAAAACTCGAGCCATCTTATGTTATCAGGAAATTTCTGGATGCGCAAAGGATACATAACCTGACGGCTTATCTACAAGCGTTGCATAGGCAGTCACTGGCCAACGCAGACCACACCACACTGCTGCTCAACTGTTATACAAAGCTCAAGGACAGTTTGAAGCTGGAAGAGTTTATTAAGGTGACTTGGAGATGTGAGAAATGATGAAAAAAGTCTTAATCTACTGTGTCATTGTTGTGTGGTTCCATTAAAATTAAGATGTGAGAAATGATGAAAAAAGTCTTAATCTACCGTGCCATCGTTATGTGGTTCCATGACAAAAAATTAATAACTTATTTTGCATGTTTATCCTCCTTGATTTCCCATGTGCTGTACAGAGCAGTGAAAGCGAGGTTCACTTTGATGTTGAAATCGCCATTAAGGTTCTTCGACAGGCTGGCTACCACAGCCACGCTGTTTTCTTGGCAGAAAAGCACATGCACCATGAGTGGTATTTAAAGATTCAACTGGAAGATCTCAAGGTAAATTACAAATAAAATGGGGAAAAAAGGTAATAGCTTGTCATTGTGATGAAATGCTGTATACGTTAAGATCTGATGACATGGTATCACTGTCACGCCAGCTAAAAGCGCATTGCTCGCCTGCTGACAGGGACATGCAAGACAGCGCATTTTCCCTCTGTTCTTATTTCCCTGTACAGGCTGCTTGTGCATTTTAGAAATAATTGCAGTCAGCCAAGACAAAATCTTTTGTTTGAAAGACTTCAGGTCGATACAGAGGATCATTGTGCCATCTGCCATCCCATGGAAAAGTATTTTATTGTTCTGCCTGTCAATATACATCCCTGGCATCGATAGAACCCTGCTAATCAATGGGAAAAGAGACAAGGCCAGCCTGCAAAAAGAGAAATCCACCTCTGATTTACAACCATTAAAATGCTTTGACGTAAAAAAAAAAAAAATCTTCAAAAAAATTCTGATTAACATTCATTCAATGTTTTTCACTAAAAACGGGGTGTTGGGTTGCTCGGGGGTGTTTGTTGAAACAGCGCGTTCACACATAAGGGATGTCCACACTTGCACTTGGCACCAGGACACCCGAAGTCACTGTTCGATGATTGACTTTGTCATTGGATTTGTGGCTGCATATTTTGGACCAAGTGTAGAGAATTTTGTTTCCCGGAGAGCCGTACCCCGCCTGATTTATATCTCTTCCTGCGCCAACACACGTCATTCAAATGATGAGGATCGTTTCAGGTTTCTACAGAGCTTGCTGATACAGTACTTGGTTGATTTGACTCATTTGTGTTGAAGTAGGGAGACATCAGAATCATCTTTATTGGCCAAATATGTAGAACACACAAGGAATTTGTCTCCGGTAGAACACGCTGCACTAGTATCATCATAAACAAGGACATGGCAAATAAGTATGGAAGGGCATTCCGTAATGTGAGTGAACCATTGTGGTACCACCCTGAGACAATGTGCAAAGTATCAAGCAGAGCTAAAGTGATCAGTGGTAGAATAAAGTACGATAACAGTTGTACAGTTGGTGCAGAAAATCATTGAACCATTTTAAAGTGACCAGTAGCAGTATTTGTAGTACAACAAGTGTGCAATTATGCAGATGTCCTTGAGCGCTTAAAAGTGTCTGGTGCTGTGGACTATAGATCAGTGACAGTGGGTCAAGTGAGTACAGAGCTGGAGCTACAATAAATATAACGGGATGCTGTTCCACAGGGTTGTGCAAAATTGCAAAGAGCCACTATAATGGTAGATTTGTGTTACTGTTTAAGGTAGTTAATGGCTAGAGGGAAGAAGCTGTTTAAGTGTCTGCTGGATTTGGTGTGCATGGATTGGTAGCGCCTGTCTGAGGGGAGTAGCTGGAAAAGGTGGTGGGCAGAGTGCGGGGGGGTCTAGTTGGATTTACATATAACACAAGCAGAAGATGGCTCTCGAGGAAGCAAGGTTTCCTACCCCTGTTTTGGCTTTTTGGTGAAGAGAGGAGCGGAGCTGTCAACTGATCACCCCTTGGTTGAGTGGCAGCGCCGCTGGTAGGGAAAGATGCCAGTCCAACCTGGCAGACCCAAACGTATTGTGGGTGTTTGCCAGAAACCTGTGGCAGGAACCACATCATCTCCAAGTGTGACATCAAGCTGTATGCTAAGAATGAGCGTGACGTTGACTCCCTGATTCACCTCGAAAGTATAGACGGCAATGATATCGGAATGTCATTCGGACAAGATTAGTGTGGGCAAATGATATGTAGGCGAGTGAAGATGATCACACCTGAAGGGATTGTACTACCTCAAGGCGGTATAACAGATGCACAGGACAGCTACAAATACCATGGAATTCCACAGACAAATACCAATAGTGAGACAGATCCTGAATAGTCAGCTGAATGGCAGAATAAGATCCAGGCCATAAACACTTATGCTCTGCCAGTCAGTCATCACATATCCCATAGGCATAATAATACCATGGCCACTGGAGGACATGCAAGCCACTGACATCAAGACAAGAAAGCTCCTTACAGTGCACAAAGGGTTCCACCCCAAGTTCAGCATCCCGAGACTACACAAAGCGGAGAGGTGTGTGGACTAGTGAGCATCATTAGTGCAACATAAGAGGAAACGACAGCCCTCCAATTGGACATCAAAATGTGTGGGCTTGTGTGTGATGTATTTTCACAAAATCAGGCATAATGTCATGAAGATTAAAATTGAAAAATACCGTATTGGCCCGAATATAAGACGGCCCTGATTATGAGACGACCCCCTTTTTCAAGACTCAAGTTTGAAACGACTTTTTGAACACCAAATTAATTTTTATACAGAAAATAATTACAGTACATCTGAAACAAATGATTATAACAATATATTTGAGAGAAAAAGCATGTTATTTTGCCTCATTCAAATCTTAATATCTGAACATTTAAATATGTGAACTAAAGTGCAATCAATCACATTCGTAACTGAATGGCTTCTGGTTTTTGAAGTGTAAATTACATCATAACTTCTCCTCAGCTGCCGGTTAACCTGGCCGATCTTCGACCCACTTTTCTCCAGATTGTTGCTACGTTTCTCCATTTTCTGTTAACTTTTCTACTATTTTCTTCTCTTGTCTTTCTTACCGCTATTTTTTATTTTTCTTCTTTGTGCTAACGCAATTTGTATTTTTATTCTTCGTGACAGGGGCTCACTTTGGCCTGGGGAGTCAAGTTCAGCATTCGCTTCAATGATATCTGGCGCCATCTAGCGTTGTGAATGGGTATAATGTCTAGACCCAGAATATAACACGACCCCCACTTTTTCAGTCTCATTCCAATGCAAAAAACACCGTCTTATATTCGGGTCAATACGGTAGTTTTCTTAAAATTTTTTATTTTGACATTTTTCGCCAAAATACCTTCCCTAAGGTTTTTATTTTCATTTCCAAGCAGCCCAAAGGTTTATTAAAAATAAGTGATTCATAGACATGCATGTTTTATATGTACATATATGTATATACAGTACCTGCATATATACAGAAATATAATATATGAATACACACATACACAAATACATTGTCAACTGAGCACCAGAGGTTCTTGTTTGGTGCAATTTTTGTTCCCGATCCATCACCTCTGGATATCAATGCCTTCCTAAGCTTTTGTTTTGAAGTTGGCCCTTGGAAGGGAAGCAATCGTTGTGGCGAGTGACTTGACTTTGAATTGAGGCTGGCAAGCTTTTGTTTTGAAGTTGGCCCTTGGAAGGGAAGCAATCGTTGTGGCGAGTGACTTGACTTTGAGTTGAGGCTGGCCTGACTTGAGCTGCACTATGCTTCGTTGCACCACTGTTTATACGTATGTTATGTATATGTATGAATTGGTTACTTACCATATTGTTTTCTTCCAAAACCCAGAACTATGAGGAAGGGTTACGCTACATTGGACGGCTACCTTTTGATCAAGCTGAAAGCAACATGAAGCGTTATGGCAAGACATTAATTCATCATATTCCTGAAGGTACAACACTGCTTTTAAAGGGCTTATGCACCAACTACCACCCAAGTGGGGACACTGCTGAAATTGAGAGCCACTTGGAAAGGAACCCCTTCAACAAGGTTGGTGGGCTGTGCCCATGTTTTTCAAATCATTGGGGAATTAAGGGTACAACATTTCAAGTGAAGTCACATTTATTTACATAGCCCTTCATCACAAACAGTCTCAAAGGGCTTCACATGCCCACAGTTGACACATATTAATGACATTCCCCGACCTTAAGCCCCAGAAAGACAAGGACAAACTCAAAAAACCCCATCTGGGGGAAAGGTGAGAAACCTTGAGAAAGGGCCACAGATGGGAGAATCCCCTGCCAGGATGACCAGGCCGCAATGGATGCCGAGTGGGCCACATTTGACACAATATTGTACTGTATTAATGTTAATTAGAATGATATGAAAGTCCATTTAACAAGATAAAAACGCTGCAGCCTTTGTAGAGGTGGGTCCCCATCTGAACCTGGCCCAGTTGGTCAATGAAGAAATCTTAATAGGCAAGCGTCACCGAGTGGTCGACCAGCTCGTCCATCTCAGTCCATGCCGACATTAATGTAATATGTCCTTCCTCACTTGCCGTTCGGAAAACAAAAATGGACATTCGTGTTTTTCACAGGACAGGCAAATTATAATAGCTCACTTAACCTATTTTTCAAAATGCCATGACACCTGATGCGTGCAGCCATATTTGCCTGCAAGAAGCTGAGCCATGACATAAAAAGGTTAAAACCCGTCTTGCTTTCTCGGCCAGATTCGAAAGAGTCTGTCAATCAGTCAAGGTCCATCAAGCCATCAATGATGGTGCCTGTTTTGCTGGCTCTGTGTCAGACGAGGCCAGTGCAGCAGCACGTACTAATTAGGCGCCACACTTATGTCATGCAGTTTAGTTTATATCGATTCTGTTTAAATGAATAAATAGATAGATAGATATCCAAGTCTGGATGCCACGCTCGCCACCATCTTACCGGCCGGGTGGGTCTCGGGATGTCTCGCTGTCCGACGAAGCGGGTGGTGCTGATGTGCTTGCTTGCAGCCTTTCTGGTAGTGGACATTTCTTTTGCTTTGACTACTAATTAGGGTCACTTAGCAAGAAAAGAAATCATAAAAAATGACATACACATTAATCGACAAGTGATCTGGTGTTTCATTCAATTTCAACTGCTGGGTGCAAGGGGACGAACCAGTCATCGACTTGACGTCACATCCATTCCGAACATGGCGCCCTGCATTAAAATTAACCAGCGGTATCATTTTGGCCAAGACAAGACTAGAAATGGGAATATCAGATATGCATCAAACGTTACAATATTGCTCCATTTCCCATCAATAGCTCAAAATGGGCTGCCAGAATTACATTTTAAGGATGCAAAAAAATCTCAAATACATTCCGCTGAGATTGTTTGGTGCGGCACGTATGTTTTGAATCTTGAGTCATTCATATGATTTACTCGACGGACGGCATGGTGGGGACTGGTTAGCATGTTCGCCTCATTGTGCAGAGGTCACAGGTTCGAATCTGGCCACGTCCTTCCTGTGTGGAGTTTGTATGTTCCCCCCGTGCCTGCGTGGGTTTTCTCCGGGTACTGTGGTTTCCTTCCACATTTCAAAAACACATACATGGTAGGTTAATTGGACACACTATATTGTTCCGAGGTGTGAATGTGAGTGTGAATGGTTGTTCTATGTGTGCGCTGCGATTGACTGGAAACCAGTTCAGGGTGTATGTACCCCGCATGAAGACAGCTGGGATAGGCTCCAGCACGCCCGCGACCCTCATGAGAATAAGCAGGTTAGAAAATGGATAAAGGATGGATATTCACTGCCTAACACACATTTTGGTGCCATGGATTTTATAGTATTTTGATGTCGCTGAATCCGAAAATGCAATTATTTATTTATTTATTGCCTCTAGTTTTTGAGAGATTCCATATTTTTGAACAAAAGTCTGAAAAATATAAACATGTTGACATTGATATTCTCTTTCTGCTACCACTTTGAGGCTGTCTTTTCAAGCATTTTCATACTGTATTCTTTTATTTTTGATGCAAGGCGGCAGTCATCCACAAAATCTTGTAAAGAGTGATTTGGGGGAGGCGTATTATAATGGGGTGCGTTTTTCATGGGATGTTCTAAATTATTATTACTCTTTTTCCTTTATTATTGTGTGTGTGTGTGTGTGTGTGTGTGTGTGTGTGTGCGTGTGTGTGTGTGCGT